ATAAGTTTGAAGTTAAAAAGGAAACAAACTTAAGTTTGAAAATAAAACTTTTAAGATTGATCTTAAAAATGTAAAGTTTAAATATGGCTTGAAAATAAACTTGAAAAGGAAACTTAAGTATGAACTTAAATATTTAAGTTGAAGCTTAAAAACGAGGAAATTTTATAAAGTAAAATTAGAAAATAAAAACTATACAATTATAAATTGGTATCAAATAACTTAATAATTTTAAATTAAATATTTAAAAATAGAAATTTATATGTATAAGTAGAAATTAAATTTAAAAAAATTTAATTATTTCTAATTTTTAAAAATCAAGTCTGGAAATAAGAGAAGTAAAGGAAAAATTTTTTGGGTAGAAAAACGAATGAAAAAAATTTTTTTTTATTAATTTAAAGTAAAAAAATTTGAAACTGATGTGAGACAAAAATTATTTTTTCAAAAATGAGGAAAAAAATTTTTAAATAAAAATTGACAGGGAAATAAAATAAAAAAATAACAATAAGTAAAGTAAATAAAAATAATAATCGAAGTGCATAACACTTCAAAAGTTAAAGGAAATGCATGAAAATAAAAAAAAATTGGCCTTCAGTCGCTCTGTAGTAGTTAATGGGAAAAGAACAAAATAGCAAAAAGTCGATAAAACAAATTTTAGAAGCAAACAAGTTGGTAATAAGTTGGAAAAAAAGTTGAGGAAAAAAGTTGAGGAACAAGTTGGAAAAAAGTTGGGAAAAAGTTGGGAACAAGTTGGAAACAAGTTGGAAAAAAGTTGGGAAAAAGTTGGGAACAAGTTGGAAACAAGTTGGGAACAAGTTGAGAAAAAAGTTGAGGAACAAGTTGAGAAAAAAGTTGGTAAAGGCTGAATAAGTTGGAATATTTTAAGGAAACATTAGAGTCTTAGAATTTTAGTTGAAAAATGAAGGAGAATTTTAGAAAAAATTAAAATAAATATTTTAGGGAGTTTTTAGTAAAATCTAAAAATTATCCACAAAAATACTTGTTTTTAACACCTTCAATTATAATTATTTTTTAAATTATTTTCTGCATAGGAAGGTGGAACTAAAATAAAATTTTAGAAAAAAAACTTCCTCCTTTTTTCATTCATTTATTTTCCTCAATTTACTCGAAAAAATTATTTTAATAGAAAAAAAAATAAGCTTGCGTGCGAATTAAGTAAACAATTGAAACAATAGTGCATACTTCCCCCACGCTTAAAAAGGGGGAATAAAAAATTTAGAGAGAGAAAAGAAATGACGCCATATTTTGAAGCTCTTTTAATAATATTAAATATTTAAATAATTTAAATGTTTGGGGAAATAAAAAAAATTTTTCTCGAAAGAAAAGAATTGTAAAAAGAAAAATCAGAAATAATAATATAGGCTTGAAAACTCAACTTAAAAATAAAACTTAAGATTGATCTTGAAACTTAAGATTGATCTTAAAAATTAATAAAGTTGGAAAAAAGTTGGAAAAAAGGCTGATAATTGTAAAAACAAGTTGGAAAAGGCTGAATAAGTTTTAAAAAGTTTGAATAAGTTGCAAAATGCTTAATAAGTTGGAAAGGCTGAATAAAATGTAAAACTTAAACAAGTTGGAAAAAAAAGTTTTTAAGAATGCTTAATTAGTTAGAATATTCTAATTAAACATTAAAGTCTTAGGAATTTTAATGCAAGCGCGCATAATTATTTTATTTTTAAAAATTTAATTTTTAAAAATTTTTTAAATAAAAATACACTTTGCCAACACATTTTTTACCAATTTTAAAATTATTGTTAAAATTCTTAGCCTACCACAGCACTGTGTGAACGGCGTTGTCTTTGTTGTCTTTTTTGTTGAATTAATAATTGTTGACAGTTACAGTGACAAACACTGACACGTTTAGAACGGTGATTTTCATCTTGCCCTTTATTTTGTTGTTGTTGTTGAGAAAAAACAAATTCTGATTCGTTTTTTGGTGGTGTATCTGCTTCGCATTCTGAGCAACAAGTGCTGGATCTGAAAGACGGAATGGGTGATTTCTAGATATAAGTACAAAATGTCAGAGTGGCCAGATGTCATAATGACCAAATGTCAATATGACAAAAAGTCAAATAGACAAATGTCAGTGACAAAATACCAAAAGAACAAAATGCCATGGTGACAAAACGCCACAAGGTGATCATGAAACAAAGTAGTTAATGCCAGAGTTCCTATCCTTATTCGGCATTAAAATAGAAGGGATGGGGTAAAATTGGCATTTTGTCGAAAACCTTTTTTCAGTGAAAAGGGGAAATATATATTAACCTTGATCTAACAGAAACGCATTGATCTGGACAGCAAATGAGTGGAGAAAATAGGAGGGATTGATAAGAAGTATTTAATGAGATTGAAGAGTTTTCACTAACTGTAGAGGCGTAAGAACATCGTCGAGGTGGAGGAGAACATTCACGCATTGGGTCGGCATCGTCTTGGTCCAAAACTCTGGGGACCTTTTAAAGAAATTATTGAAATATTGGAGCAAGTTTATGATAATCTTTAATTATAGAAGAGATCTCGGGATTAGAATAATGCCCTTAAGTTAATTAATAAAATGCCCTCAGGGTATATTGGATATATAAATAGAGGTCGGATTTCCTTGACTCTTCTTGGATCAGTCATCTTAAAAGCACCTTTACAAAATTTTTTTTGATTTTTCCTAGACTCAGGAACAAGAAGCTAGTCATGGTCGCTAACCGAAATGTCAAGGTCATAAGTATCAAGATCTAGAATATCTCTTGAGTTGGATCGGATCGGGTTTCGGGTCGAAAATAAATCCAGGTCTGTGGGTATCGAGTTTGTAACACAACCTATCCTTTTTACACCTAAAAACACAAGCACCTGTAACAACAAGGAATCCTCAATTGGCCTAAAATAATTTTCATATCCAGGTTGTGCCCAAAAAGGGACTGGAGCTCTTCCTGAATTTTCATCAGGCGATTGAAGTGCAAATTCTGGAGGGCTAGGAGGGTCGAGGGAAATTTGGATAACTGCCAATCTTTCAGCAAAACGTCTCATACGTGGAGAGGTTGAGGGTAATCCTCCTGTTGTTGTTGTTGGTGGTTGCTTTATTAATCCAAAATCCATCTGGTCTGAAGCTGAAAAATGTGTTTTTAGTCGGCATTTTGAGAGCATTTTCATATTGGGGAACATGGGAATTTCGGAATTAGGATGCTTCGAAATGTGGACATTTTGTCGTTGGGACATTTTGGTATTTGAGCATTCTGGTTCTGGACTTGAAATTTGGACATTTTTCAATCTTACCCAATAGTCAAAAAATAAAAAAAAATTTCCAAAAATATGAAACCCATATTTCTGAGCTTTAGAATGCTAATTTAAGGAAAATTCTGCTTGAATATTGAGAATATCCCATAAATTACATAAAATCCACACCTTGTTCTTCCCTTATTCTTCCATCATTATTAACTATATTCGAATTAATTACTGTAGAATTTAATAAAAGAGATTTTCTTCTTCTAGCAGGTAAAGGTGGGGGTACTGGGGGTCTGGGAGGTTTTAAAATTATTTTTTGTTGGGGTTGTTGTTGCCCGCTAGTTGAGGGTCTTCGACTAATGCTAGCTGTAGTTGCTGCAGTTAATCCTCCAACATTTTCAGATTTTTGTTGTTTGTTTGGCGTTCTGTTTATTTGTAATTTTTCCATTAAATATTAGCTTCAAAATGAGTGAAGAAAAAAATTTTTTTGGTCAAAATTTTCTTAAAAAATAGTTAAAAGTGGTTATTAGAAGAGAGAGAAAGAGAAAATAGTGTGTAAATATAAGAGAGACAATTTAATAATTACTTACATATTTATTTTCAATAATTATTAATTAATTACAAAATAAATACAAAAATAAATATTTAGAGCCCAAAAAATTTTCTTAGAAAAATTCTGCAAAAATAAAAATCTTTTTTATTTGCAGGCAAAAAAACTAAAGATTAAAAAATAATATAGGGGTATTGTTATTATTTCTCTCTTATTTTTTACTCATTCCCCCCACAACTCCTTTTAAAAATTAAATATTCTCGAAAGATAATAGAGTTACTTATTCTCTACTATTTTAGGAAAAAATTTTAAAAGAAAAATATTTTTTAAACAATTCTTTCTCAAAAATATTTTAATATTTATTGACATTTTGAGCTATCGACATTTTGAAATTTTGACTATTTTTTATCAAAATTTTTTAAGTAACAAGTATATACTGTATCTATTCTAACCGTCATTCTACAACGTTTTTCAATACCCCTAAAAAAGGGCCTTTCAATTGGAAAGGCCATCAAATTGAAAGCATTCAATAAGAATAAATACGGTAGTTTAAAGGACATTAGAGTCATGATCCAAATAACTCGAGTCTAAAACCATGTTTAGAATTCTGATGCTTTTAAAGCTTTGGAAGAGGGATGAAAAAATTATTTTTTTAAATTAAATTTAGAAAAATTCTCCCCTCACTCCCCCCCCTCTCCCCTTCCCTCACCCCCCCCCCCCTCTTTCCCGGCATTTTTTTCTTTCGTTAAAAATTAAAGGAGTTAAACCACTTTTTTCTCATTTTTGGCAAAAAAACGAATTATTAAATATTTAGGGGTAAAATTGAAATAGAGAGAGAGAGAGAGAGAAAAAGCAGCTGGTATAAAATATATATGTAAAAATAAATAATAATATACTACAAGCTTTAGTCAATCAATCATTTTTATATAAATACATGGAAAAAATTTTTTGAGCGGAAAAATGCCAAAAGGGTTTGGCATAAACAAAATCCATAAATATAAGCTTCCATTTACACCCTTTTAATATATGGGGATATAAACTCCCGCGTGAGACAAAAAATAGGAAAGTCAAAAAGAAGGGACCTTGGAGTCTGAGATGGATTTAAAAATATTTTTCCAAAGAAGGATAGGCGAGGGGGGGGGGGGTTTGAGGAAAAGAACTTTACATTAACCCTGTGAGAAATGCTCCTTGCCCTTTTGAGATCAGAAGAGCGGGGGGGGGGCTAGGTATATATAAAAGTGCTTAATTTTGAGTAAAGGGTAAGGGGGGGGGGATTAGAGAAGTCAAAGTTGTTTAAACAGAGCTCTCCCAATGGCCAAACAAAATAAACTAGAATGTACGTACAATTAGAGAGAGTAAGTGAGTGCCATCTAACCGAGAAACTAACTGGTTTAAAGCTCTTTTTGAACCGTGTAGTACCAGCCATTAAAGAATTCCTATCAAATGTATTTATGTAGGTGACAAATACTTTTTTAAACTAATTAATATGACAGCAAATGACATGTACTTTTTTAAAAAAAGTATATTTTATGATAGTTAAGAGTGGAAATTATATACATACATGTTGGACTTAAAGTTAGTTCTGGGAAGTAGCAATGAAGCCGGGGATTTTTTCTACCCAAGAAGTGACTACAATTGAAGTTTTGAATATTGTAATTTGTAAAAACGCCAAAAAATCAAAACGCCAAAAAAAGAATTTTCAAAGAATTTTACAACCAAAAGTCGAAAATCTCGTTTAACACATCTCTCTCCCTTGTCGGATCCGAGAGGTTTATTTTTTAGTGAGATTTCTTTAAGGTTCTCTCTCTCCCTTTATAAATCTTTACAGTTCGGTACTGTAAAGATTACGAGATTTTCAAATGTTAGAAAATTTTTTTCAGAATATTTTTTAAAAACAAAAATTTGTGACAATATTTAATTGGGTAGAACAATAATAATGAAATAAAATAATAACAAATAAATAAAATTATAATGACGTTTACCCTTGGGGAAAAACGTGTGTGCAAAAAGGAAAAAATAAATTAGTAAAATAATAAAAATGTTGCCTAGATTTTTATATATTTTTTTCAACTTCCTGTAAATAATAATGATAGTATAAAATAATTTTTAAAATCTGAGAGAGAGGAAAAAATAATGACAACATTTCAATGGGTGGGGGAGAAGGGGGTGGAGAGAAGGGAGTGAGGGAGGGAGCTGTCTAAGCGATATCCCCAATTAAAATACACCTCATTATAAGGTACAAAATTTTTTCAAACTTTTTATCGAGGTCCATTTGTGTTTTATTAATAGAGTCATACTCCCTCCATTTTATGTACCCTTATTATAAGGTAATATTTTTTCTACCTTAAGGGGAGTAGGTAGCTTATAATGAGCTCCGACTGTATGTAGTTGAGAAAAATCCAAATAATTTTAGAAATTCAAAAAGAATGCAGCTGGCACCCCCTCTCCCCTCCTTTCCCTCTATTTAGACAAAAAAATATTTAATAGAAAAACGAATGCCAAAATCGCTTTTCTTTCTCCTCTTTCTCCTAGCTATTATTTATTTAACGTTTTTGTGGATGCTGCCAAACGGAAGGGGAGGAAAAAAAGAGATTTTTTTTCGAAGCTACTAATTTATTTTCTTTTTTTATTTACTCGTTCTCTTTTGTTGTCGAAAATGACATTTTACAAGTTTCGAACATTTAAACCTCAGAAAAGTTACAAAATGGTCAGTAATGGAAATATTTAATTTCGGTCAATTTCGATTTTGGTTTCGAATTTCGATTTGGATCGAATTTTAAAATGTCAATATTTAAGAGGCATAATTGATTTAATTTTTAGAATTATCAAAATTTTTACAAAGAAAATTCATTAAAAAAGGAAAAGGAGTCCTTAATTCAATTTTACATATATCCCCCCTTCCCTGTCCGTCACCGATAAGTGTCCAACATATAAAATTAGAAAATTGTTTTAAAAAAATAGAAAAATACAAGTAAAATGTGTTGTGAGAATGTCTGTCTGTTTTTTCCTCAAAAAATTTTTTTGGCATAAATGCATTAGTATAATTAATTTATATGATAGGCACAGATGGGTACAAAAAAAGTAAGGGAAAGTGTATGTGTATTTTATGAAGAAGATAAATTGAGGATGATGAATATTTAGTGAACTTTAACGTCCAAATAGGAATATTAAAAGGCTTATGTGCTAGTTAGAGGTGTTTCGAAATAGAAAAAAATATTCGAAAATTGGAAATCGAAAGGCGAAATTTCGAAAAAGGTATGGTTCATTTCGAGCTTTGTTTTTCGCGTATTTTTGTCTATTCGGTAGGGTTTAGCGGGATCGGGATCCCGGTCGGGATCGGGCGGGATTATCCCTCCCGATTTTTCAATCCCGGTCCCGATTCGGGATCGGGGATGTCATTCCAAAATCCCGATCCCGATTTCATGTCGGGATCCCCATCTCGCTCAACTCTACTTTTCGGGTCTTTAAATTTAATTTCGTTTTCCGTTTTTTTACCTATCATGATTAAATCCTTTTTGACACACCCTCGAATTCTAAATCATAAAAACCAACATTCACAAAATTGGACATAAAAGTGCATTTTTATAGGAAAAAATTGAAAAGAAAAAAGTTTTAAAAAATCCAGTAAAAAATTCTAAAAATAGAACAGTTTTTAGAAAGAATTTTTAAAAGTACATCTTTCAAATTAGATAGAAAATTTAAGAAGACAAGTAACACAACGTTTTTCGTGATAAAATTAAATTAAAAAGCCGAAAAAGGGATAAGGCGACATTTGCGGGGAGACATTTGAGGGAAGACATTTGCGGACACCTATTAAGCTTCTTAAAATACATATTATAAAATTAATATGTATTTCCAAAATTCATTATCAAAATATAACCTTATTATTAGAGCGAGTTTTTTTAGGTTTAAAAAATCCGATAATAGGTACCTAAATAGGTTCGAAAATAGGCTAAAATAGGTTCAAAAAAGTTCGAAAAGTGGCAAAATATGTAGGTACGAATTTTTAGCAAATAGGTTTGAATTTTCAGATTTTTTTCAATTTTGAGTCTTCAATTTATGGGTTTTTAATTTTCACGGGCCTGTAACTCAGCCATATCATGTCAGATTGCGCTGATTTTGGTGTCATTCGACTCAACTCGAGGAGCTCTTTCGAATGAGCTATCATTCAATAATTCGAATTTTTCACCTCAAAAATGTCTACTCCCCTGTATGGTTTTACGATTTTTGGGTGCATGTAACTCGGCCCTATGAATTTAGATCGCGTTGATTTTGGTGTTATTCTACTCAGCTAGACGAGCTCTCGAACTAGTCTCCCATCTTTGAAAACTCTTTCAAATGACATAAATATCGAATATATCGCAGTCTTTGTCCTCAAAACAAGTTTACCGCTAATTGTTTAAAAGAAAAAATATCAAAATCAAAAAGAACAATAGAGAAAAAATATATAAAAAATACCAAAAATAAAAAAATTTTCCTTAAAAATTAGAGATTTAGCGAAAAAATGACTTTAAATATAAAATATTTGCAAAAATAAAGGCAATTTTTGAGCTTTTTGTCAAAAAACCTAAAATAGGTTCAAAAAAGTCCGAAATAGGTTGGAAATAGGTTTTAGGTCCAAAAATGCCGAAATAGGTTTTTTAGGTTCGAATAGGTCCAATATAGACTCATTATTTCGACCCAAAACAGTGTTTTTCGTGCCTCTCTCATCAAAATTAGTTCGCAAAAAAATAGAGAAAAACCTAAAAAAACTCGCTCTACTTATTATAAATAGTATACTTCCTTAGGGTCGAAAATTTTTGTATATATGTAGGTGTATCGTAATAGGGGGTATAGGCAATTTCCTCCTTCCGTGGACAATTAAATGAAAAAAACGATAAGATTTGAGTAAAGTAGATTGTACATAAATGAGGTAGTTTTTTTTATTTAATATACCATAAAAATCCCAGTAAAAGCTTGGGCTTGTATTGGAAATGGGATTGAGTTAGGATGAGTTACTAATAGGAATGGGCTTATATTGGAGACGGGCTTTTATCTGCTCGCAAATGTCGCGAGATAAACAAAGAAGCTTCATTTTCGAAATAATTAAAGTGGCATTAAAATAGCAATTTAAACGAGGAAATATTATTAAATAAAAATTAATTAAATATTTTTAAGTAAAAATTAATAGAAAATGAGGGGGAAAAGTACAAAAAAAGTTTTAATTAATTTTAAAGAGGAAATAATGAATAAGCATTGGCTTTTCCTCCCACCTAGAATTCTTTAAAAACTTTAAATTAACAAATAAATAAATAATTAGTAGGTAGTTAGTAATGATTAACCAATTGTGATTTGAATTTAATTAATTATTTTTTTTAAATTAAAGGTTAAACATAAAATGTTGGTGTGTTTAAAACAGCTGTTGTTTTAAATAAAAAAAGGAGGAAGGAAGAAAAAGAGGGAAGAAGGAAATTTTTGGAAAATATTTTTAATTTTTGGGAGAACTAGATATTAATGAACTAACACAAATAAACAAAATTTTAATTGGTTTAGGGTGACTATTAACGTCAGAGCTCGTTCATATATATCAGAGGTGTGCCAGTTTCGCGTTTCGCAAATTTTGCTTTTTTTGGGTTTCGGCATACCTATGATACCCCCCTCCACTCCTACCTACATAACCTTCCTTTTATAAAGATTTAGCCCTAAGTATACATTTAAGAACGAGATCCGTCGTCTGTAAAATAATTTTAAAATTGTTTTAAAAAGTGTTCAAGAGTTGAGACATACATTAAGTTTCCAAGGACCTTTTTTCACGTTTCTTGGGGGTTAAGGCAAGTTGATAATTTATCTGTCCTAACCCAGATTATTATTTAATACCTCCAATCTAAAAATGGCGTCATCCCCCACCTCAACATATTTTTTCTTACAAGAGAAAAGTAATAGCTATTAAAAATCTCCATAACTCCCATAAGAATGTTGAGGGCCTTCTCAAAGGTAACAATTTCAAAAAAAATTTTCCATAGATAATTTTCAGGACTTCCTTTTTGTGTTTTTAAGGCTTCATTTCCACAATTTTTTACAAAATTAAAAAAATAAGGAGGAAGGTCTTCTCAATTTAACACCCATATATTCCCCTCACACCTCTCGTTTTTGTCATGTGAGAGGAACTTTTAAAAGAAAAAAAGTTAGAAAAAAAAATAAAAAAATATTGCTTTGGACATGCAATTAAGATTAAAAAAAGGTAAAAAAATAAGAGGAAAAAAATAAAAAAAATTTTTTTTGAGGTGTTTGGCACGAGTCTTTTTTAAATTATTAATAGAGTATTTTTATATGCCTTTTAAGACAAGTTTAGACAGAAAAAAAATAAAAAATAATTCCGCTTGGTTAAGGTTATGTAAGTTTTTATTTTTAATGTTAAATAAGGGGCTGGTAAAGAAATACAAAAATAAAAATAAGCATAATTATTAAAAGGGGGTTTTTAAATATACCGTATTTCCTATATTAGAGCCCCAGCCTCTGTTAGAGCCCCACCCTCTAATACAGCCCCACTTTGGAGGATAGTTGAAAAATAGAGCCCCACCCTCAATTAGAGCCCCACTCCAAATATAGCCCCACTAAAAATAGTGGAGGAAAAAATATCCCCAATAACTTTTTAGCTGTATTTCGAGAGTTAAGGAAGTAAAGGGGGATATTGGTGATATTGTGATCATGGAGGAGGAGGGATCATGGGGATATAGGGATGAAAAGGAG